ACCAGTATTGTACCGAAATTTCTGACATGGATGGCGATTTCATTGGTACGTCATTGGTAGGTCCTACTGAAAATCGAACAAATTATGTCTGCTGATGGTTGACCGCGTTTACTAAATAAACACAAACAGCATTGTAAACGCCATCTTCGGAGTTCAGTGATGCTCAAGCGTCAATGAATGTACCAAGTTTACAATGTTTCGCACTTTTATCAATTGAAATTTTGCTCTAAAGTGTGATTATATCTTTTTATCTTGTTAGACATCCAAAAGCCACCACATAAATTTTGCATCACTCAATAAAGAATAAATTTAGTAAATTTTGTATACTCTTTGAAAATGGTTTAAACACCGAAACGATCGTCAGAGAAATAAATGAACATTATGAAACTTGCCAAGTGTTTTAATTCCTTTATTTTTATAAAAATGTTTCACCAAGTGCCAAGCGAGTCTACAATTTCAAAAAAAAAGAATAAATATCCAAATCTGAAAGTCCTAGGTATGTCATTTTCCAAATCAACGCATACTATTCTTGTAATTTTGATTATAAAGTTATAAGTAAAAAAGGAAAAATAAAAAGTAACTCGACAAATAGCAAATTGGTTAATCTTGTGATTGTGTACTTTGTGAATGTTACTACTGTGTACTACTGAAAAATTTTGATGGTTCTGTAGAACACTAAAAATCTCAAACATCAACACCAAAACACAGCAATTCAGCGTTCAAAGTACTTTTTTGTAACAATTTTTCAATAAAATTTCTCTTCTAATTCAGAAAAATTTACAATACGAGCATTTTTAAAGTTGTTACAAAACTTGATCGTTAACAAAAGATACCTGTCTTTTGTCTGATATCTTTGTATTGTTCTTGAGATGTCACTGCAAAACAATAGAACTAATTATTTTAAAACAATGACTTGAGCAGTCTGCTACTGTGTTGTTGTATAATTACGCTAATCGCCCACCTGCTGGAAAATAGCACAGGGAAAAAAGTCCTTGTCGTTGATTCCAGTATGTACAACAAATTGGGTCCCATTTTCTGTCCCTACGTCGAATTTATGTTAATGTTAGTCCAGAATACGCAAAGTTTCACCATTCCCAAAGAACACGTACGTACATTCTGATGACAGGCAATAAATAAATGGTTAGTCTGAATGACAAAAGTTCAACAACAATAAGTTATCTCTAAAGAGAAAGAGTTGGCTACTGAAAAGTAGAAAGCTGAAAAATTGTCTTTATTTCATAAGGCATTATTCGGAAAAAAGCGTTAGTGCTCACGTCACTATGAAAAAGTGGCTAAGGGAATACCTATCACTGATTAGAATAACTTTCAACAACCGCTTATTTTAAAACTAGTAATAATATAACACACTAAAGCTACTAGTGGAATAACTACCTCCTGTCATCAATGAATAAAGATCATCATAGAAAATACGACAAATGGCAGTGTAAACGCCATCTGTAGCACGATGCTACATTTTAGGACAAGGTCCATTTAAATATATGAATATCTACTTGCTGAAACGAATCCCGGCGTAGCTCACCTCAACGTGGTAGGCACGTTACCATAATCGAATAAAACAATTCGAAGTAGTCTGTATTCTGTCGAAACTGCCAGACGCGGATCGCGATTTCGATCTTTTTGGATCTCATCAGCGCGTCGCAGGCAGCTCCGACAGAATACAGACCAACTTTTACCTGCTGCCTTAACAGCGCGTTTTAGAAAATACGGCAAATGGCGTTGTACTACAGATGGCGTTTACTGATCCTGAGCTATCTTCGGATTTCCCTAAAACTGGAACATCCCACATCCTTAACTATTTGCGAACAGTAACCTCATCTCGGTCCACCTCTACTCCTCAACTCCTGTTTCTGCCTCTGACATGTTTCTGACTAGACCCCTATGCCTGAAAAGGTGTCCTACCAACCTATCTCGCCTATTACTTATCGACTTCCATAAAATCCTCTGTTCTCCTATTCTTTCTAATTTCTCCTCACGTCTAACCTTCTCAATCTTCTAACAATACATTAAAAACGCTTCTAACCTTAAATAGTTTTCATAATCACACCATTATGTTTAGGTAGTCTTTAGAGAAGAACAGTTCCTTTTTGAAGAGCACTCCATAGCTTAAACCACTCGATTAAGGTACATTTGACGCCAAAGCCAAACATTTTCTTCCCCTTTCCTTGATGTTGTAACTAGTACATGCACAGTATCGTGGAAGAACAAACAGAATAGCTTAAAACCCTCAAAACCCCAACGCCAAAACACGACACTGTAGTTGGACAACTACAGTGTCGTGTTTTGGCGTTGAGGTTTTGAGCTATTTTGATTGTTCTACAACAACCGCCAAGTTTTTCCAATCTTCATAGTATCGTGGAAGTACACACCCATCATCAAAAGATGAATACATGCATATATTAAATTGTTTAGAGGCAATTTTTAGTGTCAAATATTTCAAACATTGATTGAGATTGTGTATTATAGAGAGATGGCCGATGAGAGACATTATATGGAAGTAATTCCGATAAACAATTGAAGGAGTTACTAGATACAATAAGGAGACGGTGCACGGTGGTCTTTCAGTTAACAAAATGATCATTAAGCAGAAGAACGAAGAAATATATAAGGATGAAGAAGTTTTAAGATTGTGAGCATCTGCGAAAGACACAACTTTCGCGCTTGTTTGCCAAAGTCGACGGAATTGAGGCGTCATTGCCGTCGCGACGGAGAAGGAAGTCGTCGCGCTTCTCTGTGTCGAAGAAGATATGACTCCGCGCCAGCAATGTTCCCGAACAATCGTTAAACTTTTCCTATCTCCCTTAACTTTTCGCCATTGTAACTCGCATCTTTTTAACAACTTTCTGCCTTCCAAAGAGCTTACTGTAAAATCTGATAATTGCTAACGCTATTTCACGTTTGTTTCAAAACTTTTGATTAATTTCGCATCCGAACCTGCAACTAACTCTGACGTTGCAAATTGTAAATCTGGTTAAGAACATGCTCTTGTGGACTCTTTTATACAATTAAAACCTTATTATAAAAGCCTTGCAATTGCTTTTCATTCATAGTTTGCTGTACATATATTTTAACGAACTTAATACTTAAATTTATTAATGTAGCCATTTACTGCATCTACATCAGACGCCTAGCCTTGCCCTGACAGAGTGCTTCACAATATCCTTTACATTATTACTGATGCCAGTGTAGATTGGTCCTGTCTTCACCGAAAAAAAATGGCGATTCTTTTGAAAAAATAAGATTCCGACCAAACAACAATATGAGCAGTTAATTTACAATTGAATATAGGCAGCAAATAAATCAAAATAAGAGTACAACTTTAATTTAAACAACATAAAATCTAAAAGTTCTCAGCTATGTAGATAGTTTATTGATAGTGTCACAAAAACTATTCGTTCAAATATCCAGAATGAGCAAAATTATAAAATATTAAATATATTTCAGTAAACAACTGACAACTCGTGTTACAAACAAGAAGCCCAGAAGTAAAATACAAAGAAAAAGAACTTAAGTCGCCATCTATGGTTGATATTGTCAATTGTGCACGTTTCTTGATTCACATGATCTCTGGTGATATGATTTTAAAAGTTGTTACAATGTGCTGCTTTTTCTACGATCTACACCTGACAGTTTCGACAAACTTCTAACTAAAATTCCCATTTTCTTAATTTCCTCGGGCTTCCTGCACAACACACTACATTCGTATTTTGTTCTTAACTGTGCGGTATGTAAAGTATTACCCATTAACTACATTCCCTGCTCGTTTTTCTGGATTTAATATGAACCGAGTTTCTCCTCCTGTGGTCAGACCAATTTTCTTAAACATTTACGAAGCTTTGCAGTAGAAGATGGTGTATAAGCGGTAGAAACAAATGGCAAAAGCTGGTAATGGTTTCCTTAATTACTGCAACACCCCCTTGTCGAGTGATAAATGAAACGTTGTATTTAGGAAGAGCAGGTTTCGCAGTTAGAACAGGAATTTGAAGTCGTTCGTCTTAATTACGAAGAATATTTAGTTCCGTTTAGAAAGTCACAAAATCAACTTCTTGTTTCTAAGTTCGCTAAGTTAAATCTGAACAAATAGCCTCAGTTGTTTATCTACTTAAAAATAGCTTAATTCTTGAGAAAATGCTAACCCCAAAAACTGTAAGACGACATGTTGAGGTTCAATTATATTATTAGGCTTAGGTGTGGCTAAATTAAAAAACCTAAGGGAGAAATACTAAACGATTGCACAACAATTGTATAATTGGAACAAAAATATATCGCCTCAAACGCTTCATTAATCATTAATTGATATTTTTATGAAAAGTAAATTTACAAAGACTTAATTTTCTATGGAATAGAGGATGAAGCATCCATAGTGTGGGGATGCTGTAATTGAAAATGCGAATCTATTCATGATTATTACCCTTCAACCGGAAAAGTTTGAGGGGATTTCTAAAAACCCTGTCATTTCCATGATTTCAGTTCCAGTAATCTCAAAAATAGCAATGATGAGGAACATGCTTTTGGTACAAATTCCACGTAAACAGTAAGGAAAGTAATTCTGAGTGGATTAATAAGGAACTCTTTTCCACTTTAAGAGTTAGATCCTTACAAATAAATCTATTAAAATTTATTTTTATTCGATATCTTCGACAGATATTCAGATTTTTAATAGTTATCTCTGTTAGTTTTTGTCCTCTTAGTGGAAAATGATAAAGAGTAAGTATTTTAAGTGCTTGTAACAACGATAAACTTGTTATATAAGAAAAGCGAATACTGATGTTCGTTGCTCCATTTTCCATTTTTCGCTCCCTTTAGTATTTCTTAAGTTACTGAGCATTTCGTGACATACTCCAATATTCGCAATGACTACCATAACTTACAGACAGTATACCTTACTGCTAAGAACATTATGTAGCAGTAGAAGAAACCACATGTTGTAAAAGAAATTCTAACCATAAAATGCTTTAATGGCATATAACTGCAAAACTCACCCATTTTTCTCTATGTCTTTCTTAGAGACGCAGACGGCTGTGAATGCATCTTCAAGTAAGCATAAATCTTTCTTCTTACAATTTAGTGGACGGCAAAGGTCACCTGAAAAATAAACAAAGGGATATACTTACTACAATAGTTATCAGGCATTTTTTACTTCTTGTCTCTAATATAATAATAAAAAGGCTAACAAATACTATTTTGTAGCAACTAAGGGACAGTAAGTATTGGAAGTCGATTTTTATACATTTATCTTATCTAGAATTGTACAGAAAAGTGTGGAAAAATGGGCGGAAAACCCATTAGGGGAAGATCAGTTTGGGTTTAGAAGAAATTAGAAGAACGCGAGAGGTCATTCTAGCTTTACGATTTCTAAATTGTTAAAGGTGTATGTCTGAAGCGAGGCGCTGTACGGGTGCGAAACATGGACGGTGAACGTGGCGGAATAGAAAAGGTTAGAAGCATTCGAAATGTGGTGTTATAGGCGAATGATGAGGATACCGTGGATAGAGAAGGTTGGAAATGAAAAGGTATTAAAAAGAATAGGAGAACAGAGGACTCTATGGATGTCAATAAGAAATAGGCGAGATAGGTTGATAGGACACCTTCTCAGGCATGACGGTCTAGTCAGAGACGTATTAGAAATGGAAGTTAAGAGAGGTAGAGGTAGACCTAGATTAGATTACTGTTCGCAAATAGTTAAACATATGGGTTGTTTCAGTTTTAGGGAAATGTCAAGATTAGCTCAGAATAGGAAGGAGTAGAGGTGCGTGTCCAACCAGTCTTAAGACTGACGACTTTATGAAAATGATATAGTAAGAATATATTAAAGCTACTTCAAATTGTTTAACTCAAAAAACTAAATTTTTCATTTTGTCTTGCGTATTTGGTCTTGGTGTTGCATATTTTATCTTGGTTTTGATCTCGGTTTTGTTCTGTCTTAGTCTTGGTCTTGCTAGTATAAATACAGTCTTGCATTTTCGCAAGGATATGGGACGTTGTAGTTTTAGGTGTATGTAATTTAACTCAGAGTAGGTAAGACTGGAAGTACGTGTCCAACCAGTCTTAGGACTGACCACCCTATGATGATGATAACGATGATAATAATGATATTTAGAATATTTTTATGTACCTAAATAGAATAAGTGCTATGCTCACTCGGAGACATTACGTCTATGAAAGGAGGCAGAGGTTGAGACAATTTCAAAAACATTAAACTAACTTTGTAAAGGCGATCAACGTATTGACCAGAAAGTTTTCTAAATTCCTAAATGTGGATCCTGATTTCTAATTTATTGGTTCTGTCAGCGTGTCATATGTAGTTTCTGAAACTGTTTTTCCCTCTTGTCGTCTTGCACATGGATTAATTGACCTACATGTTATCATGATAATGCATGTTTTTAAAAATATATCGCCTGTGTATTTCACTGGCACAGGTAATACTAGGTATAGCCTGTAATGGAATATTAAAGCACTGAAAACACAAAACCATATTCATTGTCTAAATTCCTTTTATGTAGATATTAGAGAAGCCTTGTAATGTAGTTAATACCGTGATGAAATTGAATCGCAGGTTTCTATACCTTTAATCTTTCGAGAATATTATTATCCGTCCATAGGCACCTATAAATAAAAGCAAATCCTCAGTTCCTCATTGTTTGCCTTACGTATGCATCCAAAATGTCTAACTAAAGTAGTTTGATGGAAGAGTAATTTGAAACGTGGCCGTGGGCTGAAAGGAGCATTTAATTCCTGAACTAATGTAATTGGACGGGAGCGGAATGATGTGCTTGCGGTATCTTTTCGGTATCATGAGTAATTGAAATACACCAGCCGAATGCAGCATAAGCCCTTTGAGTTTTCATCGTTACTGTGTCCGAAACGCTAGAGAAATTTATTAATAAATAATTAATATCTTCATACAGATAGTAGTGGATAAACGAATTAGTAATTTTTTAATACAAATTCGTTAATTAACCTATTCGTCATCATCATAAGGTCGTCAGTCCTAAGACTGGTTGGACACGCACCTCCACTCCTTCTTTACTGTGTCCGAAACGCTAGAGGAATGTATTAATAAATAATTAATATCTTCATACAGATAGTAGTGGATAAACGAATTAGTAATTTTTTAATACAAATTCGTTAATTAATGTATTCGTCATCATCATAAGGTCGTCAGTCCTAAGACTGGTTGGACACGCACCTCCACTCCTTTCCTTCTTGAGATAATCTTCACATTTCGCTAAAACTAGAACATCCCACATCCTTAACTATTTGCGAACAGTAATCTAATCTAGGTCTACCTCTACCCCTCGTAACTTCCGTTTCTGCTTCTAATACATCTCTAACTAAACCTTCATGCCTGAGAAAGTGTTATGCAAATCTATCTCGCCTATTTCTTATTGACTTCCATTAAAACCTCTGTTTTCCTATTCTTTCTATTTTTTCTTCATTTCTAACCTTCTCTATCCACGGTATTCTCATCATTCGCCTGTAACACCACATTTCGAACCTTTCTAACATTTTCTTTTCCTGGCTTCTAAACTGATACCAAAACTCAGCCCCTTCTTCTAATTTTTCGTCTCCTATCTTTATATTCGCTCTTTCCGTACTTTTTCTTCCCTTGCATACCTATATTTTTGTTTTACTTTTATTTATCTTCATACAGTATTGTTTTTTCAATACCGCTATCTATCTCTAAGTCCTCCTTGCTAGATGCTAATACTGCTATATCATCTGCAAATCTATCTATCCCTAAAGTTGTACTGTCGTTAATGATGTTGATGGCGATGTATAGATTAAAAAGTAGCAGTGGCATCTCTATAACTGCCTGTTACGATTTATACAAACTAAGTATCACCCTTCTACCTTTGTTATTAACGTATTAATAATCAAATATGAGGATGCAAGGAACTTGGGAAATGTAATAATCTTCTCGATCAATAGAGACCTATTTGGCATTATCAACAATTCCAATTCGGCTGAACAGTGGATTATGCAGTAAGACAGTGCAGACTTCTTAGTTACTTACACCTATTTTAAAAAATCCAATTTTATTTATTGACTTCGACTTACAAACATGCCAAGATCATGTATACCTAAATTTAATCATGAAATTGCATACTCTCTACAAACGTTTTGCTTCCAGACTCCCGATGGAAAACGGTATTCAGTAAGGGCATTCTTTAAAACGCATGTGTACAATACCAGACATACATATCTACAGCAACGCATTGTATACATACACCCTGAATTCAGTAAAAGTCGAGCAACAAAATCGATGCCCTCGTTTCTTCCTTGACACTGAAAGCTATTATTTGCGTGTAGGTAATAGGCAACCAAGGCCTATTTGATATCGACTTACAACAACTGTCTTCTAAATTTTTGTTGTCGATTACCCTACAAACTTACGTCATGGTAATATGTAACCATTTCAGAGCTGCAACGATTTGGATTAAATGATGATTTAGAAAACTGACAAATCATATTGAGTAACATTTTCTGGACAAAATAAATTTAACTGGTTTTAACGTATGAAACAACATGTTTTAAGGGCGAAGTTAAAACGTAAACAATCAGGAACAGGAAATAATTTTTGCGGTTCATAATTGAGAGAGATCTTTCCTGCCATCTATGAATGCATGTGTTATTGACTGCGAGAGTTAAGATTTCCACGTACTGAGAAAATTATTGATGAAAACAATCCTAAAGTTGAATAAACAAAACGTCCACAATAGACATGATGCGCTGCAATCCTATGGGAAACGTAAACGGTAAATGAGGAGTTTACGACATCCTCTATAAAGTTTTGAAGTCCGATGCTGCCAACATGGCCTAAATGCCTAAAACTTGTAGATATAATACGATAGAGAGAGCAACTGTCCATCAAAAAAAAATGTTGGAAGCACTGTGAAAGTTTGTTTTATTGTGAACTGAACTTCAGAGAGGATAGCGTAAACTCGATATGGACCTAAACTAAACGTATCAGTAGGTATACCCTGTTGGGTTAAAAAAGTTTAGTTAGTAAATGTTTAAAAGTGCATATTGCGCTGTAACTTCGCACAAAGGCAATAGACCTAAAGTCACCCTCGTAACGCTATTGGCATTTGGGTTTCTCGTCTCCATCAGTCCAAACATGTTGAGCAATTTTTAAATACGTATAACTCTACTCCTGTGGAAAATGATAACAATGTCTGAACGATGATGATAGTAATTCCTGTAAGCGGTGAATGTCAGTTCATCATCATCATAAGGTCGTCAATCCTAAGACTGGTTGGACACGCATCTCCACTCTTACCTATCCTGAGCTAATCTTCGCATTTCCCTAAAAGTAGAACAACCTACATCCTTAACTATTTGCGAACAGTAATCTATTCTAGATCTACGTCTCCCCTTCTAACTCCCCTTTCTGCCTCTAATGTGTCTCTGACTAGACCTTCATGCCTGAGAAGGTGTCCTACCAATCTCTATCAACGGTATCCGCGCTCCAAACATACACCTTTAACAATCTTTTTCGAATTTCTAAATTAACCGTTCGCCAACATAGAAGTGACTTCTTTTTATTGAAGGCAACTCGATCCTGCGTTATTCTCTGCTTTATATCTCTACTACTCCTTCCGTCCTGACTTATCTGACTTCCTAAATACCGAAAATCAGCCACTTCTTGTAATCGTTTGTCTCCTACCCTTTCATTCGCTCTTTCCCTACTTCTTCTTCCCTTCATACCAGTAGTTTTGTTTTACTTTTAATGTCAGTAATCGTTTATTAAAAACCGCTCATAGTAATCGATCACATTTATAGCATTGTTTTAACTATTTTTATTGTTTTGTGCTACGTTAAAGAGCCAGTATTGTACTCCATTCATAAAACCTCACAATCCATCTGGGGAAGGCGAATTACCAGTGGAATCGTGATAAGAGAGCTTCAATAAATTAGAATGAAAAATTATTCGTTTGGTTGAATACCAGAAATTTAAGAAGCGTTAAATTTATACAGATTGTAGGATGCAATAGAAGAAGATTTATAAAAACTGAAGAATATCTTTAGAAATTAGCGTTCCTTAATCTTCTGGTTGAACTTTGCAGACGCAGCTCAATGTAAATTACATAACCAAGAAAGAGTTAAATTATTCAAAAGAAATTTCACTTCGTAATGAAAAACATCAGCGTTTTTTATTCCTTTTCAATTCATTCATTCATGACGCGTAAAAAAATGGTATCGCTTTCACAGTTATGAAAAAGTTGAAATGCAGAGGAAAGCTTTTATCGTGGAAGAAAAATGGCGAGCTGCTTCTGGGTGAATCTAGATATAAAGGAAGTCCATAGGTATACACATTTGACATTTACGTATTACGTATAGTAAAACAACTGCGATCCTTTTCTTGTTTATATTTTTCTTCGTTTTATATGCTAAAATATACTCAGCACACCCGTTTATCAAAGCCCGAATTGTCATGTCGGGATTCAGAAACAGAAAAGGGGTTTTATATGTTTCACTTTTTATTTTGTTTTATTCACAACTGTGAGGAAGCTTTTATTGTTACATTGATATTGCGAAATTGAAAAGAAACCGAATTATTTAAAGCGAAATCATTTAAAAGAAACCTTTTTATCTAGGGCACTAAGTCAGGAAACCTTATAAATTCTTACTTCTTAGAATAGGTACAATTACAAACGAGGATTATTGCAAAGAACCTGTTAGGCAAGGAAAAATACGGTAGAAGTAACACACTAAACATTTATAAACTGCTGTTCCACATTATGTTATACATGTCTGAGAAACCCCAAAATCTTTAAATTCCACTCAATCAATTTATGTCGTTATTTATTGTATTAACATCATTATGGATATTAATATTAATACCTACGTAAACGTAGAAGCTTATCGCACCCTTTTCGATATTTATTGTAATGTTCGTGGGTTTAACAAAATTAACTTTTAAGACTGATAACGACAAAACTATTTATTTACACTAATTATTAAAGAACTTAAAATACTATTACATTATTACTACTTAGGTTATGAATTATTCTATTTATTTACACTACTGTTGATATATCACTATTCACTGCGCTATTTATTTCACTGCTATCACTGTCAATTTATTTCTCGATTCACTTCTGCAACGATCAGTTTATTTCCATTTCTCTCGGCGATCGTCTCTTCTTTTAAATACTCTTTTATTTACTTTCGGGAACCTTCTGGAAACTTCCGGATAGTTTATTTTTTCTTTAAACAAATACGGTGCACATGAAGAAAGGTGCCCGCGCACACAAACACACTCGTGCTCGCTACTTTATTAAAGGATTCCAATATGGAGCAGTACAAAATATAAAATAAATGCCGTATGTCGTGGAATATATAGTCGGTCAACACGTAATCTCTTATCAGTGTTATTATAACCCTGATAAGTACGCTATAAATCAAGAACAAAGATGTTAGCTAATTAAGATGTCGATTAGGAATTTGCCATATACACTTCAACAAACTCCGTACCAATCGTAACGATACCAAAGGAGAACTTTTTAAAATCCTTAAGAAAATAATCTTCTAAATGTAGAGTTAGGAATTTATTTAAGTTGAACGTAGTACTTACTTGATGGATCATGGATCCACTTCTTTTTTGTTCCCACTTTAGGTGCTTTTGTTTCATCCTGTAACAGAAATATTTAAATGAATAAGTGCAAAATCAATTCATAATTTGTATTAAGTGTACTACAGCAATAATTTATTTATTTGCAGATATACAAAGGAAGTGATGTTTAACAATTATCATTTAAATTGTTAATTTATGTTTCTCGATGGTACATGTGGCAAAGAATGTCAGTGGGGATGACCATGAAGCTGGCCCAACAAAAAAAGACTTCTGAAAAATTCCAGAATGAGGAGCTTTGTAAGGTTTAAATTGGTTCCAAGGTCAAAAATTAGAGGCTCATAATTTATGTTTTATTGATTTTCACTTTGGACAGAGAGCGCAGCGGAAAAGAAAAGGTTAGAAGCGTTTGGAATGTGGTGTTACAAGCGAATGATGAGGATACCGTGGATAGAGAAGGTTAGAAATGGAGAGATATCAGAAAGAATAGAAGAATAGAGAACTCTATGGAAGTCAATAAAAAAATAGGCGAGATAGATTAGTAGGACACCTTTTCAGGTATGAAGGTCTAGTCAAAGACATATTAGAGGCAGAAACGGGAGTTAGGAGGGGTAGAGATAGACCTAGACTAGATTAAGGATGTGGGTTGTTCTAGTTTTAGGGAAATGCGAAGATTAGCTCAGGATAGGAGAAGAGTGGAGATACGTGTCCAACCAGTCTTAGGACTGACGAAGTTATAATGATGTTTTTCACTAATTTATTTCTTCTTTTTAATGTTAGTGTCTCTTAAAAATTAGGATATGGTTAGTGTAGGTTGTCCTGGGTAACTAACGATAATCTAACCTTCAACAGATGCACGATAAGAAAGATTTGGTAAAATATCAGCAAGAAACAATCTTTGACCTTCGTACCAAATTATTCCCTAATAAATCGCGTTTAAGGCATTTTTGAAATTCATTTTGGCCACTTTGTTGCTCTGACTGTATTACCAATCGGGGAAGATGTGGTGAAAGGAATATTTAAAGAGCATTAAGAAAAATAAGATCTTTAACTTTTTTTAACTAATTAAAGTCAAAAAGGTGCAAAAAGCTCTTTATTATGTAAAACATACTACAGACGTTTCACCTTAAATTAATGGTATTTTTCAATATTAGTTTTTAAGAGTCAATTCAGAGTAACATGCAGATTAATTAAGGAAAGATGTTGGTATTAGTTTTTGCATGTTAAAAAGCTTTTTGTTACTTTTTGACTTTCATTATTAGTTAAAAAAATCGTATGACTAAAGAGAGAATGGAAAATATAAAATCTTCAACTTTCACTAATCATGAGTCTTAAGGTCCTAAGGCGCAATAAGATTAGATTATACGTGTATAATATGTATAATAAATTTTCACAGCGCCTTGGGTAACTTCACATCGAGTTATGAGTTTAAAAAGCTTACATTGTAGGATCACGAGGTTTAAAAGATTTACGTTTTGGGCTTATGGGTTAGGTTAAGGAATTAAGGGATTTGAAACGCTTATTAGGTTATAAGGTTATGGAATTTCAATCGTTTGTATTGAATGTTTTCGGTTATCTGGTTTTTGAATTTAGTTTTACATTAAAATATTTGGAAGGTTTAAATTGGAGTTAGTTTATGATACTTTCATTGAGTATAAAATATTATTATTTAAAATATTATATATTGTCTGAATTTAATATATATCCGGAAGATATAGTGATGTAACAAAGGGGTTTGTTTTGGGACGGTCAATTGTGGAATATACCGTTTAAATCTGTTCTAGCAGCCACGATTTATCGTTTTCCTCTGTTTGGCACAAAAGCCGATATGTTGGAGATATGCGCCATTCGTCTTTGTCGTTTCTTTTTTTTGGTCTTTTCGACGCGCACGAAGTCGCTGAAAAACTACCCTGAATCGATATCAGGCGGAGAGCATTTTCTTGGTTGACTAAAAAAGAATATACTGGCCCAATATTGGAAACGATTCCGACATTTATTTCCTCCAGTCTGATACAACCCTTGGCAACTGGTACCTACAAATTTATTCGAAGAATATCTTGAAATATCCACAGTGCATTCCATCTACTGCCTCCGAATAATAAATTACAAAACAGTCCCGCTGATAACAGGATATCAAATATATTAAAGAATGCATATGATCGTGACGTAACTGAAAATGAGTTAAATCGAGCCCAAATTAAACATCCCTCAGGCACTCGTCATCGAATGCATAAATTGAAATTTAGTAAAAAATGTAGTGCAAGATACTTGAACGAAGTTCAAATATCGTAAAAAATATTAATTTATCTCTTTATTTCAACCATGTTATATCCAGGCATAGGAATAATGAACAGTTACTCCGAGACCATTCTTGTAAAATCCCTTTTCTCAAACAATGGTAAAGTTTCTTTTTCTATATTAAGAGTTAAAATACAGTTTAGGAAAGTGAGAATTTTAAATACAAAAAGATGTTTTTTTACAAAAAACAAATATATTAAAGTTACTTCAAATACTTTTACTCATAAATTCACCGGAAGTTCAGTAAAAAAAAACTTTTCGGTGTTTCATTCCCACCAGCCATTAATGCAGGTGGGCGGGCAGTCCCTCCGAACTACGCCGGAAGGTAGGGCAGACAGCCCTCTTCAGCCTCCTTTCAGGAATCGTGGGAATGGGTGGGTGGTGGTTCGGGTGAGAAAGTAGAGATGGACGAAATGAAGATAGAAGAGAATGAAAATTTGGATAAGCACCTCCATGAGTCGATCTTCGAACTTCCCGAAAACTAGAATATCTCACATCTGTAACTGTCCTTCTTTGACTATGTTTCTGCTTCAATCAATATCAAAAAAACTTTTGGGTGTCTCATTCCCACTAGCCACTAATGCTGGTTTCAGGAATCGTGGGAATGGGTGGTTGGTGGTTCGGGTGAGAAAGGTGAGACGGGCGAAATGAAGACAGAAGAGAATGAAAGATTATCTGAAGAATATTACTGCCCCAGCATTAAATAAGTAATCCAAGGAAACCATAGAAAAACTTGAACCAAAGCTGATGGACCCGGAATCGAACCGGCGTCCTCCAGAATGTTAAGCAATAGTCTGATATTGGTTTTAGTCTTAGTGTAGTTCGTTCGCTCTTGGTCTTCGTCTTGCTAGTATATTAGGTATTGTTGGTCTTGATCTTGCATTCGAAAAAAGACTAAGAACAGTTTTGTTCATCACTAATATTTTGACAAGGGAATCAAAACCTATGGGGGACTTCCCATTAACCCAGAATCATGAAATTTGACAAGAAACAAAATCTCACAACTCAACTAAAAGGAAAATCTCAAAACCGTGAATTTATAGTTACATCCCAGTAACTTCATAATTGTAAAATAATAATTTTGTTTGTACAAAGGCCGATAGAAATATGTGTATATCGCAATTTCGTTGCCTACAAACGTTTAATTTACGTAATCATTACGAATGAAGTATATTTTTATTCGTTCAATTAGTTGAAATGTATTTCGTTAAACCATTGATGGTAGGTAGTATCAGAAAATGCAGCAAATATTGGTCATAAGCCCATTTGATGTATGGTGTCGATTTGGTTTTATACGTATATATACGAGGGCCTACATACCAATAGGTACAAATATTCGCCATGCTTTCCAGTTAATGAGTGGTTTTTGTTATTATTAGGTTTATAGCACGATGATTTGGCTCGGTCGTGCTGCTATGTATTTTTCAAACGAATTTAACGGTTCAATATGTTTTTAATTTGCATATCAGCATGAACTCCATCCATTCCGATATCGGAACAGAAGCAAAGCATTAATGAAAATTCCCGGTCGTGAATGCACTTCCCATAAATTATTTATTTATTTAGTTAGTTGTTAATTAAGCAATTCTGTTGCAGGTGCAGTTAAAAATTATCACTAATGTTCAACTTTTGTACGTATTTTAATCAAATACTTAATTGCAGAACCGTCGAAACGTTAACAAATTAGCAATTTGCACTGCAATTGTTTTTAACACATTTAACAAATCGATATTGAATGAAACTATAATGGTTTCGTAGTGTTTTTAATTCTCAACCTGTAGGGTGGGCGGAACTTAAAAAACATGGTGGCCGCAAATATGCAGTTTTGTTTAAGGCGCATAGACGTAACCATCAACTCATACTGAAATTTGTCGGATGGGCGGAGCTTAAAAAACATGGTGGAAACAAATATGCAGCTTTGTTCAAGTTAGCGATAGCCACCAACCCCATATTGGGATGTTTTGGGTGAACAAAGGTTAACATTCACTGAATACTTTACACATCTAAGCTAACCCTGTGTGTCCTAACCCGAGTTGACCTTACCAATCCTAACCTAACCTAACTTGAACTTTAACATAACTTGACATGACGTAACCTCACTTTTTATTAATTAAAACATGAAAACATACAAAACTGATTCCTATTAATGCCTAAGTGAACGTATTTTATTTATCATACAATTAAACTAATCTAAAATTTTCAGCAGAAACTAGACGGACGATTGCGGCTATTAAAGTTAAAATTTTGATGAAATCAATCATTTCTAATCGCTTAAAATAACCATTAAACGTATCTTGAGTTGATCGTAGCCCTGCCTACCCTTCTATCCCAATTTTTTTTTTAGTACCTTCGCTGTGAACGCTGGGGATGATCGTTCATCACTGCTGGTGCAGTAATGTGTTGTTTTGGCGTCTATTAATCATTTCCTGATCGTCTTTCATAAAGTTTAGCTGCTATGTTTTCATTCCGAATTTAATGGCCACATCTTTCATGCACTTGTGTAAGGGTAGTCGATCGTTCATCAATATTTCCATCGGCCTATCAAGTTCAAATTTGTTAAAATCCAACGCTCGTGTCCTTTCGCAGTAAAGAAAAAAAGAACAGGTTATAATTAATGAATCTTAGAACTAATTAAACTAAACGATCATTTTATACTGTAACAAAAAGCCAAGTTGAAGGAGAGGAGCGAAATTCCTGGAACCCCGGAGCACTAATTAACGCTGGGGGAGGATACCGAATGAAACGTACCCACCTAACCTGTTT